ACCTGCGTGCATTCCACCCACCTGTACAATGAGAGATGGCACCTTTGATGAGCCGTGTAGAAACAACGCTAGTGTGACAGTTCATACACTTGCGTTATTATCCAAATGACGTACATTATTATAATTACATTATTGGAGTAGGTACTGTAGTAGGGTGATGATATAGGGTATTATCCTTGCAAGGTTGAATACGCTTACTACAACCCAGGCTGTAGATAATATAAACGAGATGCTCGTCTTTCTACGCACTAACCGATCTGTCCATCCGACCTCTGTGTCTTCACCTTGAATAGCAACAGTCCCGAAAAATTAAGCATTTGTATCCACGCGCGAAACAGCTTCAGAAACTCCCCATACGAAAGCTTTCCCGTCGTGACGTCAGCAGAATCTTCATTTTGAATTTGGAGTGCAGTTTCACTTTTTCTTGACTGCTCACTTGGCGACACCTGGTGTTTAGGCATGCTTTCTTGATCTCGAGAACCGCTCCTCCGTGGGTAACAGTTGTTGGATATGACTTGGATGAACTTGCTCTGTCGTTGTCTAATGTGAGCACTCTGGATCCGTTGATGTAAGTATATTGCACGGGTATTGGCTACTGTGCCCTTTTAACCTTTAGTACTCTATTGATGAGAATATGTCACGTTATACGCTTCTAACTGACTGATATTCTGTTACGTTTGCCTGTCACAGTGCTTCCTTGTCAAATATTGTTATGATAGAATCGCGTACTACGCATGCGCATGAAATTAGGCCTCGCGCGTTAATATTTATTTGCATGGTTCCTTTTATCAATACATATATTCGTAACAATAACAATCACTATTTGTGTCGCTAAAAGCCCGGAAATAGCCGCTTTATGACACATCGACATCAAATTTGCCGAACCCTAGCTGATAGACGCCGTCAGCGCCGCATATTATTTGAATAGCGAAGGCGATTGGTAGAGCGAATAAATGACCAAGTAATCGAGACATCAAATTCAATTAAAAACATCGTATTTTAGTCTGAACAGTTCTCTTCTTTACTGATGATAATGGAAACATTTCTTGTGTACAACATGATAACAGAAAAACGCTACCACATTAGTAACATTATGTAGTAGTAGTAGTAGTAGTAGTAGTAGTAGTAGTAGTTAGTAGTAGTAGTCAGTAGTAGTAATAGAGTAGTAGTAGTAGTAATAGTAGTGGTGGTGGTGTGCGTGTTGCGGTTGGTGGGTGGTGGTCTGTTTGTTGTTGTTGTTGTTGTTGTTGTTGTGGTGGTGTGTGGTGTGGTAGGGGGGGTGGTGGGTTGGTGGTGTTGGTGGTGGTGCTGGTGCTGATGATGAACGATGATGATGATGCTGTTGTAGCGCGGTGTAGGGGATGGTAGCGACAGTAGTAAATAATGGTGACATGTTCGGTGTTGTTGTGGTTGCTGCGCTGCTACTATTGGCTGTTGCTGCTGTTGATGTTGCTGTGTTGTTTGTTTGTTGTTGTTGTTATTGTTGTTGTTTTTGTTGTGGTAGGTTGGTCAGTCGTCTGCGTCGTCGTCGTCGTCGTCGTCGTCGTGCGTGGCGCGCGTGGTTGTGGCACTGGCGGCGGCATGTGATTGTGGTGGTGGTGAGTGTAGTAAGTTGTGGTGGTAAGATGAAATAGTAACAATCAATGAATAATAAGAATTATAATAGTAATATTAATACAAGTAAACTCTCCAAATTACGAACGCGCTCAAAACAAAATCTCACGTTTAGTCGTCGAATTTTTAACCGTCCCAACACTATCTAAGACAGGTAAGATTTGCCTCGAATATAGGCCCACCTATAAAACGAACTGCTCAGAACCCGAACTAAGTGAACGGTCCAATTAAGTGTGGTCAGCATTTGTAAGAATAGACTATAACAACAACACAGCAACAACAAACACAACAACACAACAACAATAACAACAACTATAATAATAATAAAATAGCAATAAAAATAATCTTATTATCTTTCTCATTCTCATTCTCATTCTCATTCTCATTCTTTATTCTCAATTCTTATTCTCATTCTCATGCTCACTCACATCCATGCTATGTTCGTTGCCAGTGTCACGAGACTAATAATATAAATGATATTATCTATATAATCAAGGTAGAACAGAGCGGAGAGGCGTCCAATAAAGCAGAATAACCACATACGGTTGACGTTACGACAAATATGCAACATTATGTTACACGTATGTTATAAAACTCAGGCGATATGCCTCGCTCTGCATTTTTTTTAACAAATAAACAATCAAATAGCTCAAGCTTATACTAGAATATAGGAGAAAGTAGACTGATATAAATTTGATCGACTGTATTTATTTATATATAATTATATATACTTGGTAAATATTCCTGGTGGCTGATTGTATGTTCATCTATGTATGTGAAGCCTGTTTTCTATCGCAACAACAACAACAACAACAACAACAACAACAACAACAACATCATCATCATCATCATCGTCAACATTAACAACAGCAACAACAGCAACAGCAACAACAACAACAACAACAACAACAACAACAATAACAACAACATCACCACTACTACTACCACCATCACGACCGCCGCCGTCGCCTCCTCTCCCACCACCCACCACCACCACCAAAAACAACAACAACAACAACAACAACAACCCACCACCACCAGCAGCACCACCACCAACACCACCACCACAACAACAACAACAACAGCAGCAGCAGCAACAGCAGCAACAGCAGCAACAGCAGCAGCAGCAGCAGCAACCCCAACACCACCAACATCACCATTATTACTACTGTCGCTACCATCCCCTACCACCGCTACCAACAGCATCATCATCATCGCCATCATCAGCACCACCACCACCACCAGCAACACCACCAACACCACCACCACTACCACCACCACCACCACCACTACCACCACCACCAACACCACCAACACCACCAACACCACCAACACCACCAACACCACCAACACCACCAACACCACCAATACCACCAACACCACCACCACCACTACACCAACACCACCAACACCACCAACACCACTACTACTACTACTACTGCTACTACTACTACTACTAGTAGTACTACTACTACTATTACTACTACTACTACTACATAATGTTACTAATATGGTAGCGTTTTTCTGTTATCATGTTTGTACACAAGAAATGTTTCCATTATCATCAGTAAAGGAGAGAACTGTTCAGACTAAATACGATGTTTTTAATTGCA